ATTCGCTGAGTGCCCTTGTTCGGGGTTTCTTCACTGCCTCTAACAGCTCCGTTACTGCACTTGACGCCTTCTCCTTCTGACGTGCTATTCAAAATTTTAAAATTAAAATTAAAATATAATTAACTCTGAAAATTAATGAGAAAATAGAATAAAATAAAATAAATAAATATAGTAAAATTGAAATAATTACCATCGTAACGGATCAACGACTCGGGTAGGCCATTGGGTCGGGTCGCTTTCTCTTTGATTCCTTCTGTATGTTTACTTACCTCCACTTGCATTCTACATTTTTAAATATTTTTTGACATGTAAGAAATTGATTTAAAAATAAAATATGTTTATATTTTCTTATTAATTGTCATGTTTACTTGTTAAAAATTCAATTAATGTTTAATATTTAAATAGAAATTAGTATTTCTTGAGCTGAAAAAAGGAAGAATTATTGCTGGATATAAGAAAGATGGGTTGTATAATTCAGCCCTATTTAATCTGATATGACTCGTGCATGTTATGAGGGACCATGCAGATTAATACTACGTGGACCACAATTAATTCATATACTTTAAATTAATTAAACTATTCCTTAATCACAATTAGCAGTTAAGACACCGACAAAAATTCGGTCAATCTAACTCAAGATTCTCTTAATATCCTACTTTTTTTTAATAAGTCACACTATTCCAAAAATGGAAATTATCTGCCCAACACTTTATTTATATATTTTATTTGGGGTAATAAATAATCTATTGTAGTAAATTGCAAAAAATAAAAATGTGAATTATTTTAAATTTAAAATATGTGTTACCCAATATATTTGAGGACTTTTCCAGTTTCATCCTTGATTGGTGCAATAGTTAGCAAATTCCAAAAAGGGGTTCCATCTTTCTTGTAATTGAGCAACCGCCCACAATAAGTGGACCCCCCTTCTAATGACTCCCTGATCTTCGCCACGTCCTCCGGGTCGGTGTCCTTCCCCTGCAAGAACCGGCTGAACCCGGTTCATAACACGAAATGTCATGAATACCCTTTTTGGTCAAAATAGGATAAATTACATCTACGCCCTAATGTATGTTAAAATAAGTACAAGGTCCCTATAATATCGGTAATACAATCAACCCATGAAGCATTATTAGAAATCCTAATGTAATTATCCATTGAATAAGTTATTCTGTCAGGGTTCTAAGGGACTATTAATTTCAGGCAGTAACGGAGACAACATAAAATTAGGGGTAACTTAGTTCACCTAAAATTCTTAAATCATTATTTATTTTATATAAGATTTATAATTTTTTGTCTATGGCAGCATTAACGGCACCTTGTGAAGCAAATAGTGCATATCGGTTCCCGGGACTTCAAATATTGGCTTTAGTAATTATTTAAGGGGTGTTGATGTAATTACCAATACTACAGATGCCTTAAAATTATTTTAGCATATTTCAGGGATATAGGTGTAATTTACCCTAGAAAATATACATGATCGGAAAATCAGGATTTACCAATTTCTGCCGATGACCTCCTTAGAAGTGTAGCCGGTCATGTTGAAGAAACCGGCGCTGGCGTACATGATCGGAAAATCAGGTTTGCTCGCATCCGATACGACGAACGTTTGCTGGAACGTCGACAGGGCATCTTTCAGATCCTCCGACACCCTCGGAAACCCCCTCTCCCTCCCTACTCCGGCGCCGCCGTCGTCGGACATGTCGCCGGAGCTCCTCATAGAGTTGCCGGAGTCCCTCCTCGAGTTCCCCGGCTTGTTGTTGTCTTCGCCGGAAGTCCTCACCTTCACCCCCTGCGGTTTGCCGGTCTCCTCGTCGGTCTTCAGAACCAGGCCCCACTCCGCGGCCCTCTGTGCGGCGGCGCCGACGACTTCTCCCTTCGCCGGAGACTTCTGGACTTCACGATCGCTGAATATCTCAGCTATAGTCTTGGAACCCAGCTGCGGAGGAGGATGGGGAGCAAGTGATGACGGCGATGCCTCCGCCGCCGCCGCCGCCGCCGGCGGCGTTTGCTCCTTGAGCGCCATCCATGATTTGATACCCTCAGCAGTTGTCCTCCCGGATTTGGAGGAGAGGTTTCTTTCGGGTTCCGGGTCGGGATTACTAGACCAGCTCTGCCACGTGGGCGGTGGCCGGAAAACGGGATTCGGCGGTGTCCGGGGAGCGGCGGCGGAATAGGTTGAGGGATTGAAAACTTCCAGCGATCCACGTGGATCCCTCGGTAGAGGTGGTGTAACTGCCGCCGCCGGCTTGTTGCGCGAGTTTTGATCGGTATTTTCCATTTCTCTGCATGAACATTATTAATTAAAATAAATATTTACACACACCATATATACACATATAAAAATTATTGCAAAATTGAGTGAAATTATTTAATATGACAAATATATTATTAAAAAATTGGTGGGATTTGTTGATATTTTGCTATAGTTGAAAGGGGCTGGACTTAACTCACAAGAGGGCTGAGATTGCTCCACATGTGACACTAACATAAAGAAAGAAAGTTATGGTTCATACGAGACCTTATCGGGCAATAAGACAAAAGTTGGGGGGCAAAAATGGAATTTCATGTTCTGCTAGAAGACAATTTCTTGTATTATATTTTATTCCTGATTATCATCACTATAGAGCACTCTGATCAGCACCTCACATTCTTCGGGGGGGCAGTTTGGTCAAGATAATTATTGCATATTGGAATATCAACATTTTTAAGTGGGAACAGCAAAAAAAATTGGTGATGAAAATTAAGAGTAAAATTCCAAATTAGTGGGTATAGTTCCATGAAATAATTAAAGATCTTTGCTGTCAAGATAATGACTTGAAAATACAACGTAACTCTCTCTCTATATATATATTTAATAAAGAAAATATTGGTAAAGAATTCGAACTCAGTTCGTTAGACTTCGATCAGCACTCTCCTATTCTATCAATTAATATAGTACATACTTTACACATATATCGACCGATAACATGAAATACGAGACTATAACGAAACTGCACACACACAAAATCAAGAAAATGAATAGTTGCAAACTTGCAATATATTTGGAAATCTTTCACTTGATTGATTACATTTATATATTTATTAAAAAACAAAAAAAAAGAAAAAAAAAATTCCAACTTACCTCAAAGGAGAAGTCATGATGATATCAAACTTCCTTAAACTTTGCTGCAAGAAAAGAGACACTGATGCTGACAATGCAAAAATGGTGATTGTGCAAGAACATATATATAGCTAGAACATTAGAATTTAAAAAAGATTTAGCCTGAGAAATTAAATAAAATAAAATAAAATAAAAAAATCCCAGATGCAGAATAAATTGTAAAAAAAACAATTAATGGTGAGAATAATTGTCGAAAAAGGGTTTGCATCCCATGCCTGCCCACCTACACTTCACATGCCTCTAACACTGATCCCTATATATGCCTCCAAATTTCTATTTATACATTCATATATTTATTTATATATAATTATAATTATAATTTATATATATCCCATCAATTCTGGTCATAATTGAGCAGATCAATATATATTGCACAGAAATAAATTTTGTTTCCTTGCTATTTCTCACATTTGGTTTATCAAAATTTCTGATAATTGTTAATTAAAATAGCTTATTTTTATTTATTTACAGACTGGAAAATATTAATTAATACTGAGTTGGCGACAAAAAAAAACATATATATTACATGCAGGAAAAAATACAAGAGGAAATGGAGGAGACATGGTCTGGGACTCATTTAATTGTTTGTATCTGCCACCACTAGACTTTTAAAAAATCTGCACATTTATATTACTATATATTTATTTTTGTTATTTTTATTAAATTTGGATAACTTTCTATATATATATATATATATATATATATATATATATATATATATATATATATATATATATATATATATATATATATATATATGATATGCCTATGTGTGCCTACCCAGTGGGCCTACAATTTCTTTACCTA